GAACTTCCTGACCGACACCGGCAAAGTTGCTTCAGAGCTCATTAACCCCGTGACCCTGAGCCGGGGAGCTCCGGCAGGCTGCTGAGTCACGCGAACTAAAAGTAACAGAATCGGGTGAAAAGTGACGCCGTGTGTCTCTCTGTTCTAGTTCCTAAATACACTCTCCATGAGTATTGTGTCTATGATTGTGTATTGTCTATCTGTTCCAGTTTGTAAATACACTGTCCATGAGCGTTGTGTCCAGCGGGCTCCGGCCTCCTGCATCACAACCTACGTCAAGTCCAAGAAAACCTCTCAGGTCAGTCGCACAAAAAAAAATAAGAATAAAAAATAGCTGCACATTTGTATTGTTTTGAGTCTCACTATAACAATAGGTAGATTTAAAAAATAGCTACATTTATTGTTTGGAGTCTCATGATAGCAAAATATAGAAAAATAAAATGAATACATGATTTATAGTTGGGAGTCTCACTATAACAACAACAAAAAATAACTGTATATTTTTGTTCTTTGGAGTCCCTAAGGATTATTCCTTATTACATTTTTGTTTTTCATAGTAGGAAAATGTCACTGAATTTTTAAATTATTGCTTTTAGGGCACACTGATATGTCCTGTTTTTTTTTTCTTTCCTCTATTGTCTCTGTCTGTCTATGTGTCTTACTTTTCCCAGCAAGAAGCGGCTGTTACTGCTTCGATGTGCTTCTTCTTCTCTCAAACTAAAATTTCCATTCTTTCAGAAAGTGTGTTTGTGGTTTGCAGGTGCTCTTGTGTGGCTTGCTTCTTCTTTCCTATCAAACATCTGTCGTCTTTATCTTCCCTCCTTCTTTTTTTGTTTGTTACTCCCTTGTAACACCTCTAATCTTCGGCATTTATGTGACGTTATTGTGGTGCAAGTGCCGTAAAGCTCTTACGAAAAAGAAAAATCTCTTGTCCTATTCTCTGTATTCTACACCTCTAATAACACCTGTAATCATCGGCATTTGTATGACTTATTTGTGTTGCAAGTGCTTTAAATATCTTACTAAATCTAAAACCTTGTTCTCAAACTAAGACTTCTTTTCTCACCGAGTGCGCGGCGCTAAACAGATGTTTTCCTCTTTACTCAAACTAAAACCTTATTTCTCTCCCTCTCTCTCTCTGTGTGTGTGTGTGTGTGTGTATACAGGTGATGAACCACCACTGGGTGGAGGGAAACTGTGCAGGCAAATGTGACCGATGCAGAAAGTCCATCAAGTCCTACAACGGTGTAACCGGCCTCCACTGTCGCTGGTGTCATGTCACGGTTAGTTGACAGTTGTCTCGTGTCTTGATGTCGTCAACAGACGCCTCTTCATGTTCATAACACAATCGCCTAATTTAATTTTAAGACTAATGAGAGAGAGAGAGAGAGAGATCTCTTTAGTCAGAATAGTGTTCTGTTTATGTGTTGCTCAGAGCCCGTGTTCTGTAATCAGGGTTGTGCATTATGCAAATGTAATTTTTAAAATGTTAAAAAAAATTATTATTTTAAAGAGTTGTATAAACAATATGCTTTTTAAAAAATATTTTTTTCAACATTTAGAATTTGAATTTCGACAAAATATTTATTGGGCACATAACCCAATACCACTGATTAAAAGACTACAATAAAAAGAATTTCCAAATTTTGGGCTTAGTGCATTATAACAGCAGGCCTTCGTCATGTATTTCTGAACTGCACTGATGTTTGCTCCTTCTTTCCTTTCAAACTTCTATCATCCTTATCTCCCCTCCTTCTTGTTTGTGTTTGTCACTCTCTAGTAAATGCCACACCCCTGATCTTCTGGTAGAAAAGATCTATACCTAGCCTTCTCGGACAAGAGCTAAAATTCTCGGAGGGCCCGATAAGATTTGGCTTCTGCCTCCACCCTGGCAAAATTCTAAATTTCCTACCTACTGAAAAGGTTTAACGTGTCCCGCACGCTCATATGACCATGTGCAGTTGGGAGCTCCGTAAAATACTTACCAAAAAGAAAATTTTTTTTTTTCTAATAATACCTGTAATCCTCGGCACTTATATGACCTAATTGTGCTGGAAATGCTGTAAGACATTCACCAAAACTACCACCAAATTGCTCCAAGAGGATCAATAAACTGTAAACGTTTAAAAAAGATTTTTTTTTTTTTCATCTCTTTGTTTCCCCAGCTCCACAACAAGTGTGCCAGTCAGATGAAGCCTGAGTGCGACCTGGGGGAATACCGGGACCATGTCCTGCCGCCCATCGCTGTGTGTCCAGCAGTGTTGGTGGGTACATATGATAGATGGCGTACAACTCGCGTGGTTGCACCCCTTTGACACACACGAACACTCATATAAATACACACACACCCAGAGATAACATACACACACACATGTGCACACATGCACACACACACACACACATACACACACACACACACACACACACACACACACACACACACACACACACACACAAGCAACATTCACACAGACATCACTTGCACTAACACATGTATGTACCTAATTGTATTTGGACACATGTGTTTGTGCTCTGGAATGCATTTTGATGTGCATATTACACTCATAACAGGCAAGGCATATCGCTCTTCCTGCTGTTTCAGAGCTTCCAGAAACGTGTAGAATCTTCCAGAAACTCCGGAACCTTCCAGATTTTCCTTCCCTTATCCCTTATGCAAATGATGTTAAGGTGTCAGGGTTTTGTTGGTTTGTTGTTTTTTTAAAAATAGTTTTGTCAGTATTAAAAATCCTTATTCTTAGTCCTTTCTTTTTTTTGTCCTCACCCCTTAGAAATTCCAGAAATCTGAAGATGGCTGGAGTGACATTGATGGACATGTACAATTTTCCTTTCTCTTGATTTGTTCTTTCTATCTTTTTGACACATTTTTACCTAACCTACAAATATTGGTACCAAATCAGGACACGCGGGGTGGTGGATTGATGGACAGGGTTGATAGCTCAAGGTGTGAGGGTTCAGTGTGACTCGCGAACATCGGATCTCCCTTTAAGTTATCTCCACAAATGAAATTCTACTTTAATGAACTTTGACTTCTTCATGATGTACCCCTTCCCAGTACCCCCTCTCCTGCCCACCCCTTTCCCCTGAGAAATAGATCTGCAGTAAACACACTCTGATCCAAAAAAAATAATGAACAATTTTTTTTTCTAAATATTTCACACAAACATTGTTCCAAAATGTTGTAATTTTTATCGTGTGTGATTAATGCAAAGGGAATTTGTTTGATATTAAGTCTATAAAGAGGTTGTGAGGTAACAGTGTCAGTTTTTCATACAAAGTCTGGCCTAACACTGTAATGGTAAAAAAAACAACCCTACATTTCAGGTGCTCAAGAAACTAGTAACTGTTATTAGTTATATGAATATAAACTATTCCAATTTTTGGGGGTTTTAAGTCTTGCTGTCTTGACAATTATTCCAGTCTCCTGAGCCGGATTAGACTTAACCCAGAATGACAAAGAAATTCAATAGACAGACTGAGAAACCAGCAAGAGGATCTTATCTGCCTCAAATGTTATTCACTTAACACGTTTACAGGTTTTGATTCATTTGTTTTATTGAAGAATCGGCCTATTTTGTGTCATATTGTGTTTCCGATGTAAGTCGCAAAGGACTAAACCGTTTGGAATATTATGGTTTCTCCGTGTGTGCTGTTTACAATGGTATGTGTGTGTGCGTGAATGTGTGCGTTGGGAGGGATGCTGACTTTTAAAATCTTTTTTTCTGAAAATCGTCTATGTTATGTATGATCATTCTGTGTGTGTGTGCGTCTTTATTTGTCAGGGGAGGGGGAGATGATGTTCTGACTAGTTTATCATTTGTATTCTATGTGTGGGGGTGGGGGGTGGGGGTCTTTGAAGAGACTCGGAGACTGGAGGGACTCCATTTTTCCTTTGCTTTCTGATACATGTGTATTTTTATTTTTAAAATTTACTTTTCCTCCCTTCCGCCCTCTCCGCTCACCTCGGCCGCTGTGTGCCTCCAGTTTATGACAGACGCGGAGAGCCATGAGGTAGATGGTCTTTGTGTGGCTAGTGCCATGTGTAGCACCGTTTGTCTGAGATGGGTCACTTGGTGTATTGCTGGTCTTTTTACAGGATTTGTCACACCTTGCTAGTCACTAGTGTACTGTCTAATAAAATAATGATAGATTGCATGTGTATCCCGCAAATTCTCACTCAACAGCAAGCTCTATGGGCTTTATAATACCTTTTGATTCTGGCTTTTCGGAGATGAGCGTTAAAATCAGAGGTCCCTGGCTGTTAAGTAAGTGTTGAAAAGGACTTTATGCCTTATTTCCGTTTGAAGAAAGAGAATTCCATCAACACGATAACGCTCATTTAGTGCTGGGAAAATAGTATGGTAATAGACAGAAACAAGAGAGAGAAACACTAACCAGTGCAAGCACCTCCCCCCCCCCCTCAAAAAAAAAATCACCCTAGTTAAACTTATAGTATACTGTCTTCAGGTGTGACTTGTCCTGTAACTAGCGAGGAACCCATGCCAGCAAAGGGGTGTGTCAGTCGTGTAGTGAAATGAGCCACTTGGCTGCCATGTGTTCCCTCTGCCAGCAAACAAAATAGTATCCTGTCGTAGACGTAAAAGGCCTCTACTGTTGCTGTGCATTGGCCGTTTTGTTGTGTACCCCATCACTCTAAAGGCACTGCGCTAAGCACGTATTTCCTCTCTTTCTCTCTCTCTCTCCCTCTCCCTCTCCCTCGCCCTCGCCCTCTCTCTCCCTCATATGCGTGCGTGAGGGAGAAGTCGAAATGTCCAGTGTTTGTGCTTGTGGAGGTAGAGAAAACAAAACGTTTGTTTTGCTAGTACACGTATGTGTGTCAGGTGCACTTTTAGACCTGTTGTGGGCGATGAGTGTTTGCACTGAATGCCCAGCACAGGGTTTTCACTGTCTCTTGTCATTTATCTAGTCTGTCGTTTATCCAGTATGTCGTCTATCAGTTAATCATCCAGTGGGTTTAGCGTCTATCAGTTTATAGTTTTGAAGGTTTGTCATTTATCCTATATGTCTCTTAGGAAGTTAGCCGTTTATTCAGGTTGTCGTTTAGCAGGTTTAGCATGTTATCACTTTAATTTCTTTGCGAGCTGGTCGCTTATTCATTTTGTAATGTAGCAGGTTTATCGATTTATCACTTGTTACTGTCATTTAGTGACCCGTCATTTATTCAGTTTGTCATTTGGCAGGTTTATCGCTTTGGGGGTTTGTCATTAATCCAGTTTGTCATTTAGTGGGGTTTATCTTTTATTCAGTTTCTGTTCAGTGGAGGTCGTCTCTTATGTTTCTCGTTTATCCAGGTATATGGTTTGTTGCTTTCGGTGCATGTCGTTTAGCAGGCATGCTGTTTAGCAGGTTTTCCATTAAGTAGGTTGCTGCCAGTCTTCTGCATAGTGGAGAAATTGAAATAATTTAAATGAATGTGCTTGTTTAAAGCAGTGTGGAGCCTCAGATTAGCCTAGATGATATCATGCACGGCTATTGTGTCGAGGACCCTGGTTTGAATTGTTAATGGGATTCTGTTTTGGGAGTTTTCAAGTTCACCAAGTCTTTAAATTTTTTTAAACTGTAAAGTCTGTTTATATTTTTTATTATTGAGCTCACAGTCATGCACAATATGCAGTTATATGTGGGTCTTCTCTGCACGTGCACCTGTGTTGCTCTTTGTGTCACGCATTTGCGATAATGTTGTTTTTGTTTGGAGTATTGTTGTTGTATTTTAAAATACCTCACGCATATGTTGTGTATTTTAAAATTTTACCCGTTTGTTGCTGTCTTTTAAAAATACTTAATACACACAGTTGGGTACGGATGACTTATACAAATAAATGTTCTACACATCGGTAATTTGGGTAAAACAAAAAATTTGAAAGAGGATGACAATCAGGGGAGGTAGCTTTGATAGTACATTCAACGATGCCCTTTTCGTAGACAGGGTTGATTTGAGATACCAAATCTCCTACAAATGTCCTGTTTTATTGCAGTACTTCTGTAGACCTTTGCCAAAATCTGATGCTTTGTTTCTATTATAAAACAATTCAGTTGTTCTCATTTCTGCCGTCTTGAAACTTGTTTACTTGTGTGAAAGACCGACATCACTGCACAACGGGCATCCCCATAAGCACTCCGTTCCCTGAAGAAGTACATCTCCAAGTGTGTAGATGCTGACGGTTCCAAGAAATGGTTGATTCCATAGCCATCTTGAAAAGTACCTGGTATTGAAAAAAGGATAGGGTTGATAGTGTATGCGTCGTGTTTGATGTCGAAGAAAGAGAAGGGATGAGAGTGATGCTGGTTTGCCTTATGACTAATATAGAAATTGCTCTAGTGGCAGATGATGATGTAACCAACGCTATTTAGAGCCCGGCAACGACACACTCGCGCGCGCACACACACACACACACACACACACACACACACACACACACACACACTCACACTCACACTCACACTCACACACACACACACACTCATACACACACGCACACACTTGCACACGAACACAATTCAAGCTCCATAATGCAGTGGAATGTTGTCTGTCTTGGATCACATCCCACCACCATGATCCACCCTCACAAAGTAATGTGCAATGGTGTGTCTTGATACCAACCATGTGTCTTGTTCATCTCGAAGCAAGAGAAAGGAAGAGAATGAAGCTGATGAGCTTTAGAATTCAAGGAAAATGTCTTTCTTTCAGATCACGATCATGACACTAGAACTACCACTTGTCAAAGCACGCTACCTGGTCTTCTCAATTTATACCTTCACATTCAGACAACCACACATGACTCGTACACATAAGTAAATACATGCAAATGCAAGCATAATATTTCGCGCTCCATATGGCCCAATGCAGCACTACGCTTGTTCGATCGCACCCCAGCACCCACCCTCGTATGACTTGATTTAAGGAAGGTGAAGCGCTTTATGCACACTATAATGTGCGATGATGTGTCTCGGAGCCGACAGTACGTGTATAATGTGCGATGATGTGTCTTGGAGCCAACAGTACGTGTGTAATGTGCGATGATGTGTCTTGGAGCCAACAGTGCGTGTATAATGTGCGATGATGTGTCTCGGAGCCCACAGTATACATGTATCACACTTATTGCACATGCTTTTGGTTGTTTTTAAAAAAATATTTTTTTATATGTCTGCTATTTTATATGTTTTTGATTTCTTTTTTTTTTCTGCTGTCGGTGCACCACAAAACTTTACAGCTGATGTCTGTGTTGTCATAGCTTGATCCCTCACCATGCACGCAGAAAACATGAGATCTATTCCCAGCGAGGGGGATGTGTCTACTTTTATCGAAAGTGAAGTGAATGTAATTAATTATTTGAGGGGATTGAGGGGTAGGGGGATGATAGGCGTAGTAGTTACAATCATTTGATAAATTAACTGGGTAAATGTCTACCATTATCCCACCCCATTCTGCAGGTTTCTCAACCAAGGCAGTCAGACCCATTCTAAAGGTTTTTGTTGCAAAGAGTTGGACTTGGGAAGGACGTCTCGTTTTTCATAGATTTGTGTTTGGAGACTCGGATGGATCGAGGGGGTCACCGGTAGTTCCAGTTTCTTTACTTTACTTTCCTTCTGTTGTTTTTGTCTGTTATTCTTTCGTTTTCTCTTCACTGAATGATCATTGTTGTTTGGACCTATTTTTCTGTGATTAAGAAAATGAACTTACTAGTCCAAGCTTCTGAAATTGTTGATTGGTTTGTACTTTTGTATCTGTGGACATAATACACAGCACATCAAGTGTGTGTGTGTGTGTGTGTGAGTGTGTGTGTGTATGTGCGAGTGTGTAAGGGAGAGAGGAAGGAGGGAGGAAAGTGGCAGTGGAGAGTGTTTGTGTATGTTAGAGAGAGATAGAGAAAGAGAGAGTGTGTGTGTGTCTATGGGGAGGGGGAAGGGGGTTTGTTTTTTTGTGATTAGTCGCTCTAGCATACAGTATGCTCACGATGTGCTCTTTGTTCCTTGACTTAGATAGTTGTCTACAGTTATTGGATGGTAGAACTTTGCAACAGTGTTTTAGTCCAGGTTGTCTTTCAGAACAAATATTTTGTATCGGCGATTTCGAACACATCTCTTGATGCTGAGTCACTTTTGCCCTACCACCTCCATTCCCTCCCCCCCCCTCTCTCTCTCTGTCTCTCTCTCTCTCTCTGTCTGTCTCTCTCTCTCTGTCTCTCTCTCTCTCTGTCTCTCTCTCTCTCTCTCTCTTTCTCTGTCTCTCTCTCTCTCTCTCTCTCTCTCTCAGTGGGTGGTTGGCGGGTGCTCTGGTGTGGTTTGCTTCTTCGTTCCTATGAAATATCTATCGTCCTTGTCGCCCCTTCTTCTTTCTTGTAACAACTCTAATCTTCTGGCGCTCATATGACCTTATGCAGTTTCGAGCAGCGTAAAACCTTTATTAAAACTAAAAAAACTCTCTCTTTCTGACCCTCCCCCCTATCTCAGTCAATCTCAATGATCCTCCCTCCCTCACTATTTCTCTCTCTCTCTCTTCCCCCCCTCCCCCCCTCCACCTCATTTGGTTTGGTTGTGCTTTTTGTAGTATTTGATGGGGGGGAAGTGGGTGCTGTGTTAAAGCACGTAAACAAATTCTTCCTTGTTTCTTTGCCCTCTGCAGTCAAAGCGACATGGGCAGTTAAAATTTATAATGAATTCCTCCCTTCACAATCTGTTTATTTATATATTGGCCTATCTTTTTGTCTGTTAGTAGGTCGGTCAGTTTTTATGTATATATAATATATATGCATCTATCTCTGTTTTTATACACCTTTCTATCTGCCTCTCTATAAATATGCCTCTCTCTCCATCTTTTTCTTTGTGTGTTTGTGTGTGTGTGTGTGTCTCTCTCTCTCTCTCTCTCTCTCTCTCTCTCTCTCTCTCTCTCTCTCTCTCAGCTCTCTCTCTCTCTCTCTCTCTCAGCTCTCTCTCGCTCTCTCTCTCTTTGTCTCCTTGTCACTTTACTGTCACCCCCTTACTTTTTATCA